CAACAAGACCAGGCTGGCGCGAATGGTGTATGCGTTGGACCTGGCGCTGTTACCTTTTTCGGCTCTATTTATGATGCTGGTGATTTGCATGTATACAGTAAGTCCTTCCAACATTGGTCTTGCATTCAGGGCGGTGTTCATGTGCGGGCGTCACTTTGCAACGTTTTACTGGGGGTACTTGAAACGTCGGTACGGTTCCTACCCCGTCGGCGGAGAGTGCATATTCAAAGTGGTCATGCTGGGCATTGCATGTCGTGGGTACTTTGCAGACACGCATAGTTTTCTCATGTACGGCGGGTTGTGGAGCGCGCTACGAGTGATTATTGCATTATTGGCACTTGATTGCAGTATGTCTGTGAGATGGAACATCTACTTCTCTGCAGTGATGTGCCTCTCTGTCTGGGATCGGCGCGGGCAGCTACGCATCGATGGACAATCTTCCATGGCTGCGTTTTTTCACCACTTCATGATTGAATTGGTTACTTGTGTACTTGTCTGCGCTGCCTCAGTATTTCTGGGAGTTTGCGACAAGGACATCCTCAATGCTTCCCGAGAGTCTAGCTTGCATCTGGCATGTCAAAGGTTGCTCGCTGTATTCTGCGACGCCCAGCTGCACATCTGCCCACGATGTGGCATCATCTCCCATTCTCCACATCTTGTGAATTTGCTGGGCGCAGAAGATGGGACAAGAGACATGAGAAGCACTGACAGGAGAAGCACTCTTCATGGACGCAATTTCCTTCAGTACGTGGGAGAGTCCGACCAGCAGCGCTTCCAGGACTTCATCTCGGCGACGGCGGGATTGCAGTCGGAAGACTCAGCAGCCGATGATCCGATCTTGGGCGAATGCGCTCGGCGCCCTGCTGCTTCCATCCAGGTGAATCTGTGCACGGAGGGGTCGGCGAACCCGATCCCCGTGGAGCTGTTCCTGATCTGCCTCGACGACGCCATCGATGCCCCCGAGCTCCTGGTCGGGATCCGGGAGACCTGCGAAGCGCTGCCGCGGGAGGCATGCACGGATGCCCCAGGCGTTGTGGCACTGCAGCAGCTGGCGGCCACAGCGCCCGCGCGCGAGCCCGGCCCAGAGGCGGGCGCGCCTGCGGGGGCGCCGCCGGCCAGCGACCCGCGTCGGCCGCCTGGCGCGGCGCCGGCGCTGGCCCGCGAGCAGCCGCACCGCCACCCGGCGGAGCCAGGGGCGGCGTCGCAGCCACCCGTTCAGCACGCAGGCCTGGGGTTGCGAAGCTCGCTCGCGTCGTCCTCGAGGGCCTCGTCCTCGTCCGGGAGCTGCGCGCCGGACGAGGGTTGCGTCTCGTCCATCTGCCTGCGGCTGGACTCGGCGAGCAGCGGTCTGCCCGTCGAGGACATGTGCCTGCGCTTCGGCGACAGCGGCCGGGCACCCCGCTTGGAGGAGTGGCTTCCAAGAGAGGCTCTGGATGTGATCCACAGGACCGTCCAAGAGCTGGTGAATCAGGAGGAGTATAGGTCGGGGGTGGACAGACCTCCTGCCTTGACACGTCGATTAGTGAATTGTCCGTTTTCGATTCTCGAGAGGGCGCCGCGGCCGTTATTTTCCAGGCTTGCGCCCGCCAGGTTTGGGCCCGAGGTCGTTTTCACTAAACCACGTTTTACTAAAGGGAGGTCTGTCCATCCCCGAGTATAGGGATGGCGAGGAGGTCACGGCGAGCGTCGGCCTCGGGGCCCTGCGGTTTTCCAGAAGCGGAGCTACGTTTCTGCGGGCGGAGTGCGCAGCGCTTGCAGTCGAAGGCCCCGTGATTGGCCCACGTGATTCAGATGAAGATTCCGATGATTTCAATACGATCGTACAGATGCAGCTGACTGGGGTGTCGAAGTTTCGCATGCCTTGGCAGAGCGGGCCGCAGAGACTCTCAGGAAGATTGCCGCTGATCCACGAGTCACCGACGGAAGCGGCGGGTGATGGCTGCGCGTCGGCACCACTCAGACACAGAAACAGTGGCCTGCAGAGGATTGCAAGAGGAGAGCGTCCGCAGCGATGTGGGGAACGTGTCCGCGGATGAATGGCAGGGTCGGGGGCGCGACCGCTGAGCGAGGCTTGCTGTGAGCCAACTGTGACTCCAATGCACTGCGCAGGTCTAGCATCTAACAATGCAGTCCAGCTTACTGCCTGTCACGTTCCGTCGCCTCCCGCAAAGTCTGTGGCCTGCGCTGTAACGGCGTCTTGTCCACTGGCTTCTGCCTCCTGGGCAGTTTCGTCCACCATCTTCTCGGACATACGCCGATCGACGCGAGGTCCCAAGAGCTGCCCCAGACAGTCCCAATCGGTCACGTCAGTTTTGCGATGCTCCCGTGGTACCATGTGTTCCTTCTTCGAGGCGGCGACGGTTGATCCGGCCGCGTTGGGACCCGCTGCGCTGCTGGCCTGTCGCGAGGCCCCGCGCGCCTTCTGGGGCGGCTGCGAGCTGCGCCCAGCGGGCGGGCCGCGCCCCCCCCCCCCACCGCCTCCTTCAAGGTGACCTCTCCCTCCTCCCCGTTCCCTTCCTCCATGTATTTTCATGCTTCCCGCCCCCGTGAGCCCTGATCCTTCCTGCACGTGGTCTGTCAACATCGGCCAACGGGCGTGTCAGCGCGTGCATGGTTTTCCAATGCAGCTTTCTTTTCTCCGTCCTCCGGCATGCCGCGTTCCTCCTGCACGCGATCCGACAGCGCGTGCGTTTTATTTCACGGCTGTTCTCTGTCGACCTCTGTCATTCATCGTTCCACTTGCACGTGCTCCGCCACCCGGCGTGACAGCCCGCGCATTATGTTTGAAAGCAGCGGCCTGAACGCGCTCGCCTGCCGCCGAAATTCGACAGGGGCTTCGCGTGTCTGTAGAATGATTGCCTTCAGCTTACCCCGCCACCGTGCCTGGGTCGCGGGCCAGAGGCCTCTTCGCAGTTGCGCGCTTGCTCTCTTCGTTTGGGGGGGTCGGGCCCGGGGCGGGTCGAAGCAGCATTACAAATTTCCCCCCTCCCAGAGAGCGGTTCCGCAATTTCCCATCCTTCGCTGTCCGAGACTGTGCAGCCACTGCCTGTGAAGGCATTTTGCGTCTCTGCTGGGTGGCACTGCAGCTCTGTGCTGTGACAGTCCTCTGCGTCCCTTTCCTCTCGCATTGTGTTTTCGCGTGTCCAGACCCCGCGACCAAGGAGTTACGACGTCATCATGTCCGTTATGTGCACAATTTGCTATTCTATTGCGGGGATTCGTACCCACTCTCTCCTCTTATATCTTCTTTTGGTTGGGTGGGAACGCAGCCGCGGGCTGACGGCACCCTGCGTCTCCTTCGTCTTGCAGTGTATTTGGGTTGTGGCGCCGCACCTAGAGCACAAAAAAAAGGTTTCGTGGACCCTTCTGCCCAGGCCCCCTTGCTCCTCCCCCTAACCCATCCCGCCACTGCCTCGTACCAGCGCTTCCTTTACAGACTCTGAGAATTTCCGAACACGCTTAACAACGTCAGAACCCGGCTGATTGAACGGAAGGTGATCGTTTTCTTATAGTTTAGCCGAGCGGCGCGGGCCCTCGCACCCCCCTTTCCCCCCTCCTGGAGCAGATCTTTGCGTTTTTGGGCGCCTGTTTCAAGCAGGTGGAGTCTTTCCGATAGGACGCACTGTTGCAAAACGTCGCAGTAAGCAGAGGTCCAGAGCCAGACCCCCCCCCCTTCCGCCCAATGTCGCAACGCCGAATAGCAGAACGTTCACAAGCCTCCTACCTCCAACCCCCTTCCCCAGACGTCCGACGTCGTGTTCTTGTTCGCCAGGAGGAGGAGCAGGAGGAGGAGCAGGAGGCGGGAGTTCGCGCGCAGCCCAGAACGTAAGGTTTTAGTGGGAGGGTGCCTGGTAAGGGGGATGGTCCGCGGCCCATTTGGGCTCAAGTTTTTCTTCGGGCCTTGAAGTCCGATGCCGAGGTCTGGGCCCCTGCCCGTGGACGGGCTTCTCATCCCGAGCCATCCCGACGGCCTTGGTGGGCCTGGCAGGGTCCTCCGGGGGCCGAGATGCCGGGCAGACGCACAAAGGCCTCCTTTCGTGCTTTGCTTCACTGCGCAAGGGGTCAGGGTCCGTCCCCCCTCACTTCTGGCAGAAGGCTTCGCTCCGCTGGGCCCCCCCTAGGAAGCAGCGACGAACGTAGCGACGGTTGCAGGCGGCAGCGCCCATGGGCCCTGGATCCACGCAAAGCGCCACCCCGCTGGACCTCCGAGGAGCTTCCGAATGTGGCGACAGCTGCGCAGCAGCCAGGGGGCGGAGGTCTGGTCTGGATACACCCAATCGGCGACGAGCGAGGGGGGGAAGCGAGAAGCAGAAGGCCTCCTCAGAGGGCGGCGGGACTTCTCGGAAGCCCTCGCGCCTTCCGGGAAGTTTCCCGTGTCTTCGGGGAACTGCTCAGGACATTCCTGAGAAGGCCGGGGGACTTCCGAGCCTCTGAGAAGGCCCGCCCCTTCTCACTCCTTCCCTGGGCTGCTCGCCGCCGAGTGGAGCGCTGCATCCTGCCCTGTCAGGGAGAAGGCCAAGTCTGGTGGGAGGACCACAGATCCCAGGGCCTCCTCGCGTCGGGAAAAGATCAGGACGCGAAGTGTCGGGCTGTTTTCGGCCTTCGGGGGCCCTTGCTGGGCAGCGGGGCTCGTCAAAAAACGGCTCAGGATGAGAAGCCGGCCCCCACGCTCCTCTTGGTATCGCTCGGGCGTGTGCATTTTTCTCGGCGAGAAGCATCGAGGACCATCCTATCCTGGACCATCGAGCAAGACAAAAACACGCGCGAAACCGACCAATGCACGGGAAATGGGCGTCCGAGCGACGGCAAGCCCAAGGCGCTCCCAAAGGGGGCCCACTCCTCGCCCCTTGGCTCGCCGCCGGCCTTCGTCCTCCGTCCTCCCCCGCCCCATCCCTCGCCCCCCCGCCTTCCGCCCCGCTCCCCGCCCTCCGCTCTCCCTGCCCCCTTCGCACATCCCCCCGGAGGTCCCGTCCCCAGGACGTCCCTCCCTCCTCCTCCTCCTCCTCCTCCTCCTCCTCCTCCTCCTCCTCCTCCTCCTCCTCCTCCTCTTCCTCGTCCTCCTCCTCCTCCTCCTCCTCGTCCTCCTCGTCCTCCTCCTCCTCCTCCTCCTCCTCCTCCCTCCTCCTCCCTCCTCCTCCCTCCTCCTCTTGCTGTGTGCGTTGCGAGCAGGAACGCAGCAAAGCGACAGGAGAGCGCGGCATTGACAGTGTCGTTCCGCACACGTGACACATCTTAACGAGCAAGAACACAGCAAAGCCCCAGGAGAGCGGGGCATTGACAGTGTAGCTCAAGAGTAGATCCCCGAAAACAGGATCAAGAGCCTCCGCCTCCAGATGCCCGAGGGGGGGGCCTGGGCCGCTTAAAGAGGCGCCGAGGACCCGAGGAAGGGATGGCAGCAACAATAATGATACTACTATTCATAGCCGTATCACTCCTCCTCCTCCTCCCTCTCCTCCTCCTCCTCCTCCTCCTCCTCCTCCTCCTCCTCCTCCTCCTCCACCAATAGGTATAATCCTCCCGTCCCCTCTGGCAGGTCGGATTCCCCCGCTGGGTCCCCAGAGCAAGTCGAGCTGGAGCAGCTCCAGTCGGAGCCAGGAAGCTCAATGTGGTGGGCCTCCCAGGCGACGCCAAGTCCAGTTGGAGCAAGTCTGGTTGGAACCAACATCGGATGTCAGAGGTGGGCTCCAACACCAGTTGCGGCGGTTGCCTCCTCCAGGGGAAGGTTGCCCTGATTTCGGTGATGGTGGTAACGTTCGGGCGTCTCGGATGACTGAGGGATGACCACCAGCACCGACATCCAGGGTCATCTTCCCCTGGTGGAGGCACCTCCCTCCGTAGCGGCATCGGTGTTAATTTTCAAGTCCCAGCACCAGCCTCATTTGGTCGGCCTCCAACAGGCTCTATCTGCCGAGACATCCGACGCCGTGATTCTGCACGCTTACGCCACATCCGCCGCTTGGGTGTCTCTGGGCAGCGGGGTCGGTCCTACGAGGCTCAGGCTAGCAGAGAGGACATGTAAATGCTTTTCTCCGTGCCCCAACCCTCTACAGCCTCCTTGAACAGGATTTTGGACGCCAGGGCAGAGGGCGATGGAAATGGGGACAGCTACATGTCTCACACGCCTCTCCCCCTCCCCGGCACGCGTGGCTCGGCGGATCACTGTGCATGCGCTTTATCAATGTGCATGTTCCTTTAGATCTGATGTGTTGGACGCGCAAGATGCGAATATGCTGAAGCTGCAAGGCTTCCAAACGGAATGGGGCTATTTCTTGCTTATTGGAGCCTTACCGTCCTCCATGATGAGCGTCCATCCATCGTCGGTCTGACGTCGATGCCGCCCAGAGAGCAGACATCGGGCCAGTGTTAAGTCGGGCATGCCCCCATACAGGAGGAATATCAAAAAATAGTCAAACGAGTAGTTTGGGGACGATTTTCGTTTTTTTTGTTCTTTTGTTTCAGAGGTGCATTTTGGGCAGTCGGGGGGGCTATCTTGGGCGCTTCTGGGGCCGTCTTGGGAGCATCTTGGGCTTTCTTGGGCCGTTCCTGGGGTTATCTGGCGCTGTCTATCAGGCCTTCTGGGCTGCCCTGTGGCCGCGTGGAGCCGTCTTTGGGCCCTCTCGAGAGCCTCTTGGGCAGTCTTGGGGAGATCCAGGAGGCCTCGGAGGCCGTCTTGGACGTGTTAGAAACGCAAACAGCGAAAATGCTGAACATGTCTGGTTTCCAAAGGGAATGGGGGTGATTTTTGCTTGTTGGAGCCTTCGGGGGGTGGTCCCCGTGGAGCCGTGTTGAAGCGTCTTGGAAACTTCTGGAGCTGTCTTGAGGCCACAGTGGGTCGTCATTGTGCCATCTGAGGTCACGTGGGCCCCATTTTGGAGCGTGGGGGCCGGCTTCTCATCCTGAGCCGTTTTTTGACGAGCCCCGCTGCCCAGCAAGGGCCCCCGAAGGCCGAAAACAGCCCGACACTTCGCGTCCTGATCTTTTCCCGACGCGAGGAGGCCCTGGGATCGGTGGTCCTCCCACCAGACTTGGCCTTCTCCCTGACAGGGCAGGATGCAGCGCTCCACTCGGCGGCGAGCAGCCCAGGGAAGGAGTGAGAAGGGGCGGGCCTTCTCAGAAGGCTCGGATGCCCCCCGGCCTTCTCAGAAGTTTTCTAATCCTTTCCCCGAGGACACCGGCAACTTCTCAGAAAACGCGAGGGCTTCCGAGAAGTCCCGCCGCCTTCTGAGAAGGCCTTCTCCTTCTCACTTCCCCCCTCGTTCGCCGCCGATGGGGTGTATCCAGACCAGACCTCCGCCCCCTGGCTGCTGCGCAGCTGTCGCCACATTCAGAAGCTCCTCGGAGGTCCAGCGGGGTGGCGCTTTGCGTGGATCCAGGGCCCATGGGCGCTGCCGCCTGCAACCGTCGCTGCGTTCGTCGCTGCTTCCTGGGGGGGGCCCAGCGGAGCGAAGCCTTCTGCCGTCCAGCGGAGGCAGAAGATCGAGGTCGGCTCGGGGAGGGTACCCTGATGTCGTTCGTGTTCGTTGGACGCTCGCCGCCGATTCTCACCACCCACCAAACCACCCCAACCCAACCCGAAGGCCTCAATTTGCCCTCCATTTCCAGTTGGGGGGGGTCTGGGAGCATCGAAAAAACACATGTGGAACCCTTACCCCCCCCAACCCGAAATTCGGGTCTTCGGGTTGGGTTGGGGTGGTCTGGTAGGTAGTCAGATTCACGGCGGCCGCTCCTGCACCCCTGCCGCCTTTGGCCCGTGCTTCTGGGCCGCGGGGGCCGGGAGCCCGCGCCACGATGTGCCGCCGCAGCTTCCAGGGGTCTCTTCTCTTCTCCTCCTCCTCCTCCTCCTCCTCCTCCTCCTCCTCCTCCTCCTCCTCCTCCCTCTCCTCCTCCCTCCCTCCTCCTCCTCCTCCCTCCTCCTCCTCCCTCCGCTCCCTCCTCCTTCCTCCCTCCTCCTCCCTCCTCCTCCTCCCTCCTCGCTCCTCCTCCTCCTCCTCCTCCTCCTCCTCCTCCTCCTCCTCCTCCTCCTCCTCCTCCTCCCTCCTCCTCCTCCTCCTCCTCCTCCTCCTCCTCCTCCTCCTCCTCCCTCACCTCCTCCTCCTCCTCCTCCCTCACCTCCTCCTCTCTACTCCCTCCTCCTCCTCCTCCTCCTCCTCCTCCTCCTCCTCCTCCTCCTCCTCCTCCTCCTCCCGCTCCCTGCTCCGCACCCGTGCTTTGGAACTCCAGGCCGCCGGCGTGCCCTTGAGCTCCTCCTGCCGTGGAGAGGTCGCGACGGCCATAATCAATGCGGTGCTCTGGGCGGCCTCCGTCGGTTTTCGGTGCCTCTGGATGCCTTCAGCAGCTGCGCTTCGCCGAGAGCGTTTGGGGGGTGCCCGGCTCGTTCCAAATGGCCGCGGGAGACCCGAGTTGTGGCCCGAGAGCCGACATCCTCGCGCTGCAAACGAATCGCGACGGGCTCGGGTTGGCGGGCTTCGGCCCTGGGGGGCCCTCACTGGGCCCCGCGACCGTCACAGAACGACTCAGGATGGGAGGCCGGTCCCTGGGAAGGGGTCCGGACCTCGGGGGAGCCACGCTGTGAAACATGAGCGCCGTCGGGTGCTTTTGGGTCGGGCCGGGGAAGCCATGCGGCGCGATCTGGAGCCCGACTCTTCTCATTCCGACGTCGCCAGCACACCGTCGATGCGCATCGGCGATGTGGCGCGAGCTTCCGACCCCACGTGCTCTGGCCCCGTCTGGGCGGCCTCCGTGTAAATGTCTTGGAAGGAATGCTCCTTTCCAGGCTTGGGCGAATTGGTTGCACGGCAGGGCTGGCTGGGATTGGCCGTAGGCTGGCCAGAGTTGGCCGGAGGGCTGGCCGGAGGGCTGGCCGGAGGGTTGACCAGGGGCATTCTTGGATCCGTGCTTCTCCCCATACGGTCGAGGCGTTGAGAGAAGGAGCAGTTCTGCTTCGAGAGGGGTTTGCTGTTGTGTAGGTCCTGCCCTGGGTGTTCCTCTGGGACTCCTCGTGCACCCAGGCGCTTTGTTGGGCCAGGCAGGGGCCCGTCCCTCGGTTCGTATTCCTTATCCCAGACAAAAAGTCGTGCTTCTCCCAGCGTGGCTTCCCAGAAGTCTAGGCCCTGTCCTGGGGACCGACCATCTTATCCTGAGTAGTTTTTGTTGACGGCCCTGGGGCCAGGTAAGGGCCACCTCCGAATATCCTAAGTATGGAGTTTTTGTTACTACTGGGACGGCTCCGCCTCACTCACTCCCTCCCGCCTCCTCCTTGTTCCCCACATCCTAAGTATGGGGTTGTTGTTATTGCTCTGATGCATCCTTCTTCCCTCCACCTCCGTCCCTCTCCTTACTCGCACTCAGGCTTACTCACACATAGACTTGCTCACACTGAGACTCACTCACACTCAGACTCGCACTCAGACCCACTCAGACTCAGACTCAACACTCAGGCCCACTCATCCTCAGCTGCACTCTTCCGTAACCATTTTGGCTCAAGCAGCTGCACGAGAGACCGCCACATTCCGCGGCAGTCTTGTTCTGCAGCCCGTCCTGTAAGTCACCCACCTGTCCAGACAGCTTCCTCAGCACCATGCGTGAGGCGATCTGCATCCACATCGGACAGGCAGGCGTTCAGATTGGTAACGCTTGTTGGGAACTCTTCTGCCTCGAGCATGGCATCCAGCCTGACGGGCAGATGCCCTCCGATAAGACAATCGGGGGTGGTGACGACGCCTTCAACACATTCTTCTCGGAGACGGGTGCCGGCAAGCACGTTCCGCGTTGTGTGATGGTGGATCTTGAGCCCACCGTCGTGGACGAGGTCCGCACCGGCACGTACCGCCAGCTCTTCCACCCCGAGCAGCTGATCTCTGGGAAGGAGGACGCGGCCAACAACTTCGCGCGCGGCCACTACACGATCGGCAAGGAGATCGTCGACCTTGTCTTGGACCGCATTCGGAAGCTCGCCGACAACTGCACCGGGCTCCAGGGGTTCATGATCTACAACGCCGTCGGCGGAGGCACCGGATCCGGGCTGGGCTGCTTAATGCTGGAGCGCCTGTCGGTGGACTACGGCAAGAAGACCAAGGTCTCGTACACGGTGTGGGCGTGCCCGCAGGTCGCCACGGCAGTGGTGGAGCCTTACAACACTGTGTTGTGCGTGCACTCTTTGCTGGAGCACACGGACGTGACCATCATGTACGACAACGAAGCATTGTACGATATTTGCAGGCGGAATCTCGACATCGAGCGTCCCACCTACACGAACCTGAACAGGCTTTTGGCCCAGATCATATCCTCGCTGACGGCGTCGCTGCGCTTTGACGGTGCGCTTAACGTGGACATCACGGAGTTCCAGACGAACCTGGTGCCGTACCCGCGCATCCATTTCATGCTCTCGAGCTACGCACCGGTGATCTCTGCAGAGAAGGCTTACCACGAGCAGCTCTCTGTGGCGGAAATTACCATGTCCGTGTTTGAACCCTCGGCCATGTTTGTCAAGTGTGACCCCCGCCACGGCAAGTACATGGCGTGCTGCATGATGTACCGAGGCGACGTGGTGCCCAAGGACGTGAACGCATCGGTAGCCACTATCAAGACGAAGCGCACGATTCAGTTTGTGGACTGGTGCCCTACCGGTTTCAAGGTCGGCATCAACTACCAGCCGCCCACCGTGGTGCCTGGTGGTGATTTGGCCAAGGTGATGCGCGCCTGCTGCATGATCAGCAACTCCACGGCCATCGCGGAGGTTTTCTCTCGCATCGACCACAAGTTCGACCTCATGTACTCCAAGCGCGCCTTCGTCCACTGGTACGTCGGAGAGGGCATGGAGGAGGGAGAGTTCTCAGAGGCCCGCGAGGACCTGGCTGCGCTGGAGAAAGACTACGAGGAGGTTGGCATCGAAACCGCCGAGGGGGAGGGTGAGGAGGAGGGCTATGGCGACGAGTTCTGAGCCAGACTGTTCGGCTGCAGAAGTGCTGGTGCGACCCAGCTATCGAATGATCTAATACAAGAACCACTTGGCATTCGAATTACGAGTGCCTCGTGTTTGTAATATGCAGAGCCACACAAGTAATCCTCAGGGACCTGGATCACGCCAGAAGCAAAAAACAAACACGCTCAGACTCATTTCTCACACTCAAACTCATACACACTCAGAGTCTCGAGCGCTCAGACTCACTCACACTCAGACTCACTCGCACAGACCACTCACACTCAGGCTCGCCTCACCGCTGGTTTCAGCACCCCAATGTGGCGGGGACCATGGGCTGTTGCACGGGCCCGTTCGCGGACAGCTTGCTGGGTGTCTCAGGCGGTTTGCCTGTTTGGTGGCTGGGATTTCTTTGCCTTCGGAGCAGATCGTGAGGATGTCTCGAGCGAGGCGCTTTCTTCAGCACCCCGAGGGGGCGGGGGCCATGTTGTGCTGCACGGGCCCGGTCGCGGCCAGCTCGCGGGGGTGCCTCTGGCGGTTTGTCTGTTTGGTGGCTGGGACTTACTCGCTTTCGCAGCAGATCGAGAGGATGTCTCGAGCGAGGCGCTGGCTTCAGCACCCCAGGAGGGAGCCGCCAGGGGGGGGCTGCACGGGCCCGTTCGCGGAGAAGCGTGTCGGTATGCCTCCTGCGGTTTGCCTGTTTGGCGGCTTGGACCTTCCTGCTTTCAGAGCAGATCGCGAGGCTGCCTCGAGCGAGGCGCTGGCTTCAGCACCCCAATGGGGGGGCGCCAGAGGGTGTTGCACAGGCCCGTCTGCGGCCAGACTGTACGGACGTCTCGATCGAGGTGCTCGTTAGGTGGCTTGGACTTCTGCGCTTTCAGAGCAGATCGTGATGATGTCTCGAGCGAGTCAGACGAAACGCTGGATTAGCCCCCCCCCCGACCCCTTTCCTTTCAGAGCCTCAAGAGCATCCCACTGAAGCAGGCATACCTTTTGGGCACTCCAAGGGGGAGCCGCCAGGGATCGCCTAGTCGCCACAGGCTGCGATATTCTCTCACCCAGACGCTCACGGACGGAAGCGCCAGGAGTCGGAGGGACTTCAACTATACACCACCACCAGCCCTGGCCAGACACTTCCTGGGCCCTGGATCGGTGTACGGACTTCCTAGCCTGGGCCAGGAAGGCCTGTACACCAGTCCAGGGCCCACGATAGTCCTGGCCAGGGCTGGTGGTGGTGTATTGTTTGTAGCTCTCCTAAGGAGCAGCGATGCACATATGGAGACCTCTGCGCCGAGTGATTTTCATGGCGCGAGGATGGCAGGGTCCAGCGCTCCTTCTGGCAGCACGCGGTGGCTGCAGCGTGCGGTGCGCGTGGAGGAGGAGGATGAGGAGGAGCAGGAGGAGAAGGAGGAGGAGGAGGAGGAGGAGGAGGAGGAGGAGGAGGAGGAGGAGGAGGAGGAGTAGGACGAGGAGGAGGATGAGGAGGAGGAGGAGGAGCAGGAGGAGGAGGAGGAGGAAGAGGAGAGAGGAGGAGCAGGCCTCCAGCTGGAAGAAGAAGGCTCCGCCGCCGCCCGTGAAGAAGGCCCCACCGCCGCGTGCACGCGCCCTGCTGGACGAGAGAGGCGCAGACGACGACGACGATGACGACGACGACGACGAGGACGACGACGACGACGACGGCGACGACGACGACGAGGACGACGACGACGACAGCGACGACGACGACGACGACGAGGACGACGAGGACGACGAGGACGACGACGATCACGATGCCGACGAGGACGACGAGGACGACGACGACGACGACGACCACGACGGCGGCGGCGGTGGCGGTGGCGGCGTTGGCGGCGGTGGCCGCGATGGCGGCGGCGGCGAAGAAGCGGGGGAGGTGTGGGGGGGTCAGCCAGTGGTTTAAAGGTGGGGTCCTGAGGGATGGGGTCCAGAGGATAAAAAACATCCAAGGGTGGATTGACGTTGTTTCCGGCACCTCGTCCTCAGGACCCCATCCCTCAGGACCCCGTCTTTGAACCACCGACCCAGACCACCGACGTCGTGAACTTTACATGACGTGACCCCCAGAAGCTCAGACCCCTTCCCGAGGTCTGCTTTTTCATCCCGAGTCGTTTTTTGACGGCCCCGAGGCCCAGGAAGGGCCCCCAGAACCCGAACATAGCGAAACACCTCTCGTCATTTTTTGTTTTTTTGTTTTTCGTTTTTTTTCCCAGCCAACCTGTGTTGTTGGGTCTTCGTTTTGAAGGGACGGTCCCCGCGTCTCCTCCTCCTCCTCCTCCTCCTCCTCCTCCTCCTCCTCCTCCTCCTCCCTCCTCTCTCCTCCTCTCACGCTTCTCCTCCACATGCGTCTCCCCCACCCAGTACAGCGTTTCGTGGCCCCAAAGGGAGCCCCACCGGAGGTCCCCAGTTGTGTGTATCTTATGCGTCTCCCCCACCCAGTACAGCGTTTCGTGGCCCCATGGGGAGCCCCACCGAAGGCCCCACTGGTGTGTATCACATGCGTCTCCTTCACCCAGTACAGCGATTCGTGACCCCACAGGGGCTCCACCGAAGGTCCCCGTGGCGCAGTCCGCATGCGTCTCCCTCACCCAGGACAGCGTTTCGTGGCCCCATATGGAGCCCCACCGAAGGTCACTGTGGCGCAGTCCGCATGCGTCTCCCCCACCCAGTACAGCGTTTCGTGGCCCTATATGGAGCCCCACCGAAGGTCCCCGTGGCGCAGTCCGCATGCGTCTCCCCCACTCAGTACAACGTTTCGTGGCCCCATAGGGGCTTCGCCGAAGGTCCCCGTGGCGCAGTCCGCATGCGTCCCCCTCACCCAGTATAGCGTTTCGTGGCTCCATAAAAGGGGCTTCGCCGAAGGTCCCCGTGGCGCAGTCCGCATGCGTCTCCCCCACCCAGTGCAGCGTTTCGTGGCCCCATAGGGGCTCCGCCGAAGGTCCCCGTGGCGCAGTCCGCATGCGTCTCCCCCACCCAGTACAACGTGTCGTGGCCCCATAAGGGGCTCCGCCGAAGGTCCCCGCGGCGCAGTCCGCATGCGTCCCCCTCACCCAATACAGCGTTTCGTGGCCCCATATGGGGCTTCGCCGAAGGTCCCCGTGGCGCAGTCCGCATGCGTCTCCCCCACCCAGTACAGCGTTTCGTGGCCCCATAGGGGCTCCGCCGAAGGTCCCCGTGGCGCAGTCCGCATGAGTACAGCGTTTCGTGGGCCCATATGGAGCCCCACCGAAGGTCCCCGTGGCGCAGTCCGCATGCTTCTCCCCCACCCAGTACAGCGTGTCGTGACCCCATATGGAGCCCCACCGAAGGTCCCCGTGGCGCAGTCCGCATGCGTCTCCCCCACCCAGTACACCTCCGTCGGAGGCCGTCGGAGGCCGTAGAAGTTCCGCGCCTCGCTCGCCCGTCGTCGCTCTGCCCAGCGGCAAGAGCCTTGCCCGCTATCAGCCAGCCATGTCCCGCGCAGCGGACGATCCGCGCGCGTCGCTGGGACCCCTCCGGGGCGACCTGCGCACGTCGCGGGGACTCCGCGCTGCGCTGCGCCCGCAGCCTTGGACTTTTGAGTGCGCGGGCAAAGAAGGAGTAAAAGAACGGGAGGAAGCGGGCGCGATCCTCGCGGGGTGGCGCGCCGACATTGGCGTCGCGGCGCGCGGGCGATGCCGTCGAGGAGTCTCGGGGAAGCTCTTTGCGGCGGCCACGCCCAGCGTCACGAGTATTCAGAGGCACTCATTTTCAAAATATTGACATTCATATACAATTACACCATGCCTTGTCATATTCGCATTCATGCACGTAGACTCGCCCGCGCGCAGATTCATTCGCAGTCAGACGCACTCGCGCTCAGATTCACCCGCGCTCGGTCTCCCCACGTATTCTGATCAATCGTTTTCGTTCGCGTTGTGTACCGCGACACTCATTTCGGTACACCCTCGTTGCCTCATAGGGATCACCACCGAAAAAGTGAATCACAATTGCGGTACTCACACCTGCATTAGGGTCCTTCGTCAGGCGTTTTTTTTCCCAACCCTCCTTGGTTGGGTATTCGTTTTGAATAGAGCAGTGTGGTCGCGTCCTTCCTCCTCCCGCCTCCCGCCTCTTTCCTGCCTCTTTCTGTCTTGCCTGCGGGGGGCTGCGATCTGTGAAACTGTCGCCACTTTCGAGGCCTGCTGGGGGGCTCAGCATAGAGGGTAATCGCGGCAGATTCAAATTAGACCTCGCCATCCCTGGGGGGGGGGCTGCGATCTGTGAAACTGTCGCCACTTTCGAGGCCTGCTGGGGGGTCCAGCATAGAGGGTAATCGCGGCAGATCCAAATTAGACCTCGCCTCCCTGGGGGGCTGCGATCTGTGAAACTGTCGCCACTTTCGAGGCCTGCTGGGGGGTCCAGCATAGAGGGTAATCGCGGCAGATCCAAATTAGACCTCGCCCTCCCTGGGGGGCTGCGATCTGTGAAACTGTCGCCACTTTCGAGGCCTGCTGGGGGGCCCAGCACAGTGGGCCACCGCGGATTCAAATTAGACCTCGCCATCCCTGGGGGGCTGCGATCTGTGAAACTGTCGCCACTTTCGAGGCCTGCTGGGGGGCCCAGCACAGTGGGCCACCGCGGATTCAAATTAGACCTCGCCATCCCTGGGGGGCTGCGATCTGTGAAACTGTCGCCACTTTCGAGGCCTGCTGGGGGGCCCAGCACAGTGACGCCACGGGCGGATTCAAATTAGACCTCGCCATCCCTGGGGGGCTGCGATCTGTGAAACTGTCGCCACTTTCGAGGCCTGCTGGGGGGCCCAGCACAGTGGGACGCCACCGCGGATTCAAATTAGACCTCGCCATCCCTGGGGGGCTGCGATCTGTGAAACTGTCGCCACTTTCGAGGCCTGCTGGGGGGCCCAGCACAGTGACGCCACCGCAGATTCAAATTAGACCTCGCCATCCCTGGGGGGCTGCGATCTGTGAAACTGTCGCCACTTTCGAGGCCTGCTGGGGGGCCCAGCACAGTGACGCCACGGCGGATTCAAATTAGACCTCGCCATCCCTGGGGGGCTGCGATCTGTGAAACTGTCGCCACTTTCGAGGCCTGCTGGGGGGCCCAGCACAGTGACGCCCACGGGGATTCAAATTAGACCTCGCCATCCCTGGGGGGCTGCGATCTGTGAAACTGTCGCCACTTTCGAGGCCTGCTGGGGGGCCCAGCACAGTGCCCACGCGGACCCAAATTAGACCTCGCCATCCCTGGGGGGCTGCGATCTGTGAAACTGTCGCCACTTTCGAGGCCTGCTGGGGGGCCCAGCACAGTGACGCCACACGCAGATTCAAATTAGACCTCGCCATCCCTGGGGGGCTGCGATCTGTGAAACTGTCGCCACTTTCGAGGCCTGCTGGGGGGCCCAGCACAGTGACGCCACGCGCGGATTCAAATTAGACCTCGCCATCCCTGGGGGGCTGCGATCTGAGATCCCCGCTTTCGAAGTGGCTAGGGTTGCTCAGGGATTGTAACGAATCAGCTTTATCTAGTCCTTGTCCTGTAACCAGTGTCCTGTGAGTCTCCCGAATTCCGCCTGGAGGCATATGTAACCCTCGCTCCGTCATCGCCCCCCTTTATAAAGTGTCCTAAACTATTTGCGCCCCGCGTTTGCGGAGGGGTTGGGTACGTCGCCAGGGTAATTGTTTTTTTGTTTTCGGGGGGGGGAGGGAAGGCGAACAGAAGAATCCGACGTGGCCTCACTTGCCTTCACCTCTGGAAGGATTCCGATGGAGAACCCTCACAGGAAGGGTTCATAGTGAAATCCTCCACAGGAGGATTCCGATCGAAACCCTCCACAGAAGCATCCCTACATGTATTGGAATCACCTGCAGAATGATTGCTAGTGATATGCTTCGAAAGTAAGAGTCACCCGGCTGGCATTGCATTGGCATTGGTTTGGCAATGGGCCGGCATTGCGCTGGAAGTGTGCTTTGCAGTGCGTTGGCATTACGCTGGCACATCGCAAGCACTGCGTTGGCGAATCCTGATGGAACCCTCCACCGAAGGACTCACACAGAACCCTTCTACAAAAAGGACTCCTATTGAAACCCTCCATGAAAAAAAGGGTTCAGATTGAAATCCCCCACAGAAGGCTTCCATGTGAAACCCTCCGCTGAAGGATTCCTATAGGAATATACAGCGCAGGATTTCCCCACTTGGCATTGCATTGGCATTGGGTTGGGATTGCCTTGGCATTGCGCTGGCAATGCGTTGGCACTGCTTTGGCATTGCTCTTGCCTTGCGCTGGCGAGTCCTCATTACTCCTTTCGCAAAAAAGGATTTCTTCTAGTGAAACCCTCCACAAGAAAGGACTCCGATTGACATCTACCACGAAGGGTTGCTTCCATTGTCATTGCATTCTGTCGCTATTGCATTGGTTTTGCATTGCGTTGACACTGCGTTGGCATTGCGCTGGCGAATCCGAATCGGGCGCTCCACAAGACAATTCTTACTAATCCACCCCAACATGAAGGATGCCTAGTGACCCCCCCCCACAAGCACAAGAAGGATTCACACTGAAATTCTCCGCAGAAGGATTACATTCGATGCCCT